AAAACTTCTATGCCTGTAATAGAAGAACAAAAATACACAATTCATAAGGTGTGCACTTTCCAAAACTGCTTTCTATTTCCCACAATTCAGAGGCTTTTTTTTTGTTTGTTGCTAAAAGTTAAAAACTCCAAAGGCGTCGTTCGTTCCTTAAACTTGGTTAAACCTTTGCCAATTTTCCATCAGGTCGGAAACAATAAGCTGTCATGAAGTTGTGCACCGTATCACTGCAAGAACGAGCGGAGTTCGATGGATTCTATACTAAATTAGGTATTTTCTTCGTATCCAAACACAGAAGAGGGGCAACTCTGCGTGCAGAATCAATCGCAGCCACCCACATCGACCCCTTTCTGCTTTAAAAAATCCTTGGCCTCGGCTATGTCCTAATGGATAAAAAATCCTTAGAACAGGTTTTAGTTCCTTTTTTATAGAGACAAACATATATAAATGTAAAAGGTGAAATGTGTGTAATTAATAGCACAGAGAATGAGAGAGATTAACCAAAGTATCATTCGGCAAAGTAAACTGAGCAGAAAATACATAGAAAAAGTATTCTACCTGCTGCAACAGTACTGCTTCTTGAGGACAAGTCGGAAATTGCATCAAACCAACTCCAACCATTAGCAGGCCATAGCATCCTAGAGACACAATGAAATATATTGGTAGCTGGGAACAAGATAAAACAGAGCATAGTTACAATATTATAACATCAAAAGTATAAACAGTGACATAAACTGACCGAAATCAATAAATAAAATAACTCACCAGCCAAGTATGACTCCGCGGAATAATAGACGTCTGTAAGAGACCAATCCACCAGGCAGAGATGGCCACCAGCAATGTCAGAATTTTCACAATATGCTTCATTGATTTATAATAATCACTTCCCACTCCTCTGCAAGTTACAAATAACATAAGTGAAAAGAACAACAGCCCTGTGGTGTATTAAACTTGCTTACTTGAAATAATATAATGTCTTTCAAATGCATGCATGAAAGCAACAGAAAATTCATGATCAAGCACACAAGGCAATGCACATCTGCGGGTTGATTCGTATAGTGTAACGTATTAATTGTGAAACCATATTCTTTATTTGAGCAATCAATTGAAGAGGAATTGTAGCTACTTTAACAATACATGAAAACTCAAACCAAAGGAAAAATATAACATGAGTCGTTTATATTTGATTTTTGCTAAAGGATGTCTCTTGAGAAGGAAAAGAAAAAACTGATGTTACATGAAATCTACAAGTCAAACAATGAAGACTAAGACACACATCACCGTAAACAAAACACAGATCATGCTGCATCTTCTATTTGGACCTCAAAGCTAACTAATTCATTCAATCAGTCCAAGATATTTTCGACCCGTGAATTCTCAAAAAACATAATGCGGTTAAATCCTACTTCTTTACTTTCCAGGGTCCAGTGGCCCTCCCCTCCCTCGAAACTCCTCCCCCATCACCACACTCAAGAGATTTGACTACTACAAGTCTACAACAAGTAGTCGATCCCATGACCTACGGAGTAGAAATGCACAAAGACACAGTTCAAGCCGGCACGAGAACCGGTCAATAACTTCCTCACTCCCACTGAAGCACATATTTAACTCAAGGATGAGCACAGTCCAATCTTTCCCATGTCCAACAGTTCAAGCCAGAACAAGATGTGCGACGAACAACAGATAACTTAATGTTTGCATATGGACAGTAAAAGTGTAAACTTTGAGAAATAGTTGATCCATAGCTGCCATCAGAAGGGATAGATCATAGTAATCCTTTTCACTGTTCCAGTCCATGTAAATGGTAATAACCTGGAACTCAAAGCCCTTGCGCAATTTCCCACATCATCTGGCACACTTTTTTAAAATTTCAATCAACAAACAAGAGCAAACCCTAATTCAAAAATTGGTGTCATTCCATGGATCATGTGAGATCCCAACCAAAAAGCTAAGAGCATCAACTGCACCAAAATCCGATATAAGATCCATTTAATTCCCAACAAAAAAAAAAAGAGTAGAAATCCTCACTTCGAATTACAAAGTGAAGAAATTGAAACACAAAAGGTGACAAATTTGTGAAAGAAAAACAGAAAATTCACATCAAAATTGAAAGAAAGCAAGGATTTTTAGCAGAAATAGAAAGTAATTAGAGATGGGTAGAAAGAATTACAGTGAATTTCGCGGCGGAGAAGAAGCAGAAGAGCTACAGAGACCAAGGTGTTCGTTTAGGGCAGGAGGGGAGTAGAGATAATTGAGAGGGTAAATCCCTAAAAAGGACTCCAAAGGGGCAAATGTGAGAATATCGAAAAATTGACTTTTGGGGGAAAGAAGTGAATACTTTGTTTATTTCTATTTTGGCCCCTGAACTTAATACAATTCTGCAGTTTTCCATTTAAGTTTAAACCCCATTGCAATTGAGAAATAGACCGAAACCAATCGGAATTTGGGGGATTATATCAGTTCTCCGATCCGCGAATCTGTGAAAATTTCAATGGCCGCGAGCAGCAGCGATGTGGAGGCGGGGTTCGCGAAGCTCCAAGGCGAAGACTTCGAATACTACATGCAGACCTACTCCATAATCCTGGGCCGGAACTCCAAGAAATCGACGGTGGACGTCGACCTCTCCAGCCTTGGCGGCGGTATGAACATTTCGCGCCACCACGCGCGAATCTTTTACGACTTCACGCGTCGTCGATTCGCCCTCGAGGTCCTCGGAAAGAACGGCTGCCTCGTGGAGGGCGTACTCCACCTGCCCGGGAACCCGCCGGTCAAGCTCGATTCGCAGGACCTTCTTCAGATCGGAGATAAGGAGTTTTACTTTCTGTTGCCGGTGAGGAGCATTCTCGGTGGGCCTGTGGGGCCTAGGCATTACCCCGGCTCGGTGCCGGTGGTGCCGAGCCCCGTCGGCCCGGCCCATTACGGGTACCACTCGGGTTCGGGCGCGGGGTCGATTGGGAAGAAGGGGAGGGGGAGGGAGTTGTATGAGGACGAGTATGAGGACGAGGAGGATGTTGGTGGGGGGAGTGGGAGTGGGAAGAAGATGAGGAGAGAAGGGTACGATGGTTTCGGATATGGTGGCGGGTCGGGTTCTGGTTCAGGCAAGGCCGGAGCTTTGGGTTAGTAGTTTTTTCCAGTTCTAGCTTTTTCCTCTTTCCTAGAAATTGATAAATTGATGGGCATTGATGTTAATATGAAATTGGAATCCGACGAAGTTGCGTTCTCTGAAATCATATGAATCATGGTGTTGTCAAGTGTTTTCATTTCAATCACATGTTTAGGATCGGTGTTGTTCGAATTTCGTCTTGAATTTCTGTGAACTTGTCGGCCTTTTCGTAGAAAGGGATTATGAGGTGCATTTGTTCTGTTTGTTTTACAGCTTTAGGAGATTGTTATCAAAGTATTGAAATTGTTCTTTTGTTGCAGGTTATACTCTATGATTTTTATTGATGTTCCTTATTAGAATGGTTTTCGTCTTCTTTATTTTTGGTTTTCGGGCGTATGGATTGTGTGTAGCTGTGGTTGGATGCGGTTTATGTTAGATAATCAAGAACTAGTGTTTTTCATTTCGTCCGAGGATATGGCAAAACTATACATTCGAAGCCATTTTTTTTAGCTCAAACTCCACCCGATACCTTGTAGAGTCTTTGGCTGTCTTTTTTATATTATTGCTAGTTTTTAACTTCTAGATTGTGATATGGGTTGATGGAATAGGATTGATCTGTTTGATACTTAACTGTAGTGACACTGAAGATACATGTTCTTTCCTTAACTTTGGCACTCTTGCATTGGCTTCTCATCTTCATAATTTTATCTTCGATTTCTGCAGAGAAGAAGGGAGATGGAAGGTCAAGGGTTGATCGAGACACTGACAATCAGCAACTTCTGCATTTGGAGGAAAAGGATGTGGTGTCCTCTGTTGCTACTGTGCTCTCTGATCTTTGTGGTCCGGGAGAATGGATGCCTATGGAGAAACTTCATACCGAGGTTAGTCTACACATTCTGACGAACAAAATATTTGTTAGTCGTAACCTTTGGCACTTGGTTATTTTCTATTCTTCAACTGCACTCTTCCCTTGATGATTGTCAAAGAATGCATCAGCTATTCCACTATTTAGTCTCATCTTTGATGGATGGTGCAGTTATCTGCAGTCATCAGCAACGTAGAAGCACATCCTTAGTTATTCATATGAGTAGCATAATTTAGTTACGCTTTGCATGTATATGCATTTGGATAGTGTATTCTAGTTTTGTTTATTGTAGGTTTATGAGTTGGAACCTTGGTTTTCTCTGCCTTACTCCATATCACTCCTGTTCAGTTGGTGGAGCAGTACAGCAGCGTCTGGCATCACACTCGAGTGAGGAGGTATCTCACTTCTGAGGACTGGCCTGGTCCAGAGTCAAAAGGGAAACCGTGGTACGGCTTGCTTATGTTGCTAAGAAAATACCCGGAACACTTTGTCATCAACACAAGGTCCAAGGGCCGGGTAACACTGGAGTTTGTTTCTCTTGTCTCTCTGCTTTCGTAAAATTTTAAGACATCGGAGGAGCTTCCTTGATGCTGATTGTTTACAATGTAGCTTATCTGGCAAGTGAGTTTCCGATTGCCAAAATTTGTACACTTGTATTGAGTTGTCGAGCAGCAATATGAGATCTTAGACCCCAGTTAGGGTAGATGTAGAACGATTAGCAATGACATTTTCTGTACATGATGGTAACAATACTATTTAGCTTTATATCAAGTTCTTGGGTTTTTCTTCTTCTTTGCAAATTTTCATTACTTTAAATTTGCTTCGTCTGAGTTAAACGTGGAGACAGAAGTCTTCTTTTGTTTCTTGACGGTGAAGTAATAAGACTAAGTTTATGAGCTTATTATCCTTGGACTTAGCCAAGAAATGTAAATGTTTGATTCCGAGTTTGAATAATCTACTTGCATCTTATTTATATCTTCAATATATTTGAAAAGACCTTAGCAATGCATCCTTAAAATGGGGGACACGATGACAAACGCAACCAAAATTTGAGAGGCATGCCCTGAAACGTTATTATTGACATATAAGAAAGTTTAAGATACATGTAACAAAATTTTAGGACTCTTTTTTGCTTAGGTTACCAAGTGCTGCCCTCTGTGCGTACATCTTTTGTTCGCGAGCATGTTTTGCAGCGAGCGCTTCCTCGTCAAGTACTTTGATAGGAGACCAGTCGGGCATTTTCAACCAACCGTCATTCTTCTGTGACCCGTCATTACTCCCAAGCATAGATTTTTTGTAGCTCTTTAACACAGGTCTTAGTCTAATCGTAGCATAATCCACAGTTGTCCCAACAAGAGTAAAGATGATTGAGTAGCGGACAGCACCAATTCGACCCCCTATAAACCAATGAACAGACAGTTAAACCACGTATGGCAGGAGGGAGGATTTCAAAGTAGTACGAACTATAAAGCAGACAATTAACAAATATGCTAGCAACTTTAATTTTAGAGATGCAGCTTGCGAGTCAAGACGTCTGTGCTGGTGATTCAGGAGGTTCGAGAGACTTAGTTCCGAGAGTCAAACTACTGTGAGTATACAGTAATTGCTTGACCAATACAGATAGCCCCACCCAATAACTCAAGACCTTAAACGAGCATGTCTCTCTCTCGACCAGTGATGTCCTGCTTAAAGCTGGCAGTGGATGGATTCTCTACTTCTGGAACCAAGTCCAGACTCCTGGCTAAGGAATATCCGAGCTACATTCGAATCAGAAATTTTCCAGTTCATCTTAAGCGAGACTACATAACTTATAGCTCACCAATTGAGCTCGCATTTCTCCCTAGAAATCATTAAACTGAACTCATGAAATATTTTACAGGACAAAGTAATCATTCCTAACAGCCAAAACATATTACTGCGCTCCCAGATTACATCAGGTTAGATCATATAGTCCCCACAACCCACTACAAATGAATCACACAAGTCCAAGCCACGAGCCGAGAGGTCGAAAGGCAATGTAAATTTCAGTGATTCCCTATCACTGAATACAATCTGATTACACCAAAGTAAACACAATCTGATTACACCAAAGTAAACACAATTTCTTCCTCTACTTTGCAAACACGTAAAGGTAGACACAGACTGAAGGAATTCTCACCCTGAAGACGCCCAAGAATAGCACCAGTGCCAAACCCAGCAATTGCAGAGTTCACCAGATCATTAGGTCCAGTTTTTCGAGTTACTCCCACATATTCACGAGCCCCTGCCAAATCCAAACAAACCCATTACAATTCCACCACTCCCTCTCCATCCAACATTCCCTCTCAGGCATTTTAACAAACACCACGCAATCAAACCAAATGGGTACATAAACCCGAAGCTGGAGATCAAAATTTCAAAAGAAAGAAATGAAATTTACCGCAGTAACAAGCCGTAACAATGGCGAAATTGGCAGCATAAGTGGCGCAACTGGTCGGGAGACCCACGACTTTTCGATGCTTGGAGACCAACCCAGCTCCTCCACCGAGAATCCCAGCTAGGAGAGTGGGAAAGACGATGCGCTCCTTCCAAGACGACGGCGGTGGCTCTGCTTCTACGGCTTTGGGATCGTCGGAAGCCATGATTGTAATGAAAGCTGTGAAATTTGCTTTTGCTCTTCGCCTGAGCTCTCTTCAGCCTTCAACGCGAGAATTTCGGAGTCGTTTTGTTATGGGAGGCGGTTTTTCGGTGCAGCCATCGCCCATCGGGCCATGAGGTCGAATCGGGTTGCGCCTCATCCGGAATCGGGTTTTAGGTCGGGTATTCGATAGTAACCATATTATAAAATTGGACTCGGGCTATCTATTTCTTTTTCATATTTGACCCTTCTTTTTCTCTTACGGCTCAAAGATGAAAAAGAGAACTTTTTTATACATGGAAAAGCATATATACAAATTGTTTCAAGCGCTCTAAAATCGTCATTATGCACTTATTATTTTATTTTTGTATTATGAAAGAGTACATGGCGACTATATAGGGTGCAAAATCAGATTTGAGGGTTAAAAATGTGTTTTCCGATCAACGATCACTCAAATCATGGAATTATCGGATTCGCTCAGTTAAAGATTTGTCAACTGTTTAAACAAGGAGTTGGATATTTATATCAATAGCCTCACTTTAAACCACGTGGTAATCATCGTTACGTTCAAATAAAAATAGATGTGAATTAACTTGGCCATTCCTAATATGAAAGTGATTTCCGCACACTTCTTTTCCTTTGCACACCAATGTATATTTCTAACCTTTTGAATTGTATAAATCAAGGACGAATCAAGTAACCAAGATATACAAGGGTGCGCGGGAAAAAAGGAGTATGAAAATCATTTCTCAGAGCTTTAAGAAGTGTTAATTCTTATCCATTTCTTCCACCAATGTGAAGTATTAAAACAAGCATTGTTTAAGTTAGGGCCACTGCTATTTGATAGCAGTATTTCATTCAAATTTAGCATATGATCACAGTATATCAGCTAATCAAGAAACTATAAACAGATTACTCTACAGATTATACTTCTTGGAACTAAAGATTCCCAAGCATTAATAAGTTAAAGGTTTCAATTTCCACTGCAAATTATTGCTTCGAAGCAGCTTATCTGATCGAAGCAATTAACAACTATGACGCTCCTAATCTGGAACTAATAATTATTTGGGGCATTTGCCTTATTAAAAGACCATGAAATCCACCATTTGCCCTAATATGAGCCTGTATACACCAAAAAATGGGAGGTCTATCAGCTAACCGCTTAACTGTTAGAAAGGAGGAAACTAAGCATTGCCCTTGAACGTTTGTGTTCAAGAGTCTAACATGTCTTGCTCTGCATCTTCTGAAGCTGAGAGGACATTCACTTCTTCTTTTTCATCCTCCCAGTTTGCGTCTTCCAATTGAGGACTCTCGGACCTCTTCTCTGACTCTGCCCCTGACCTTCTCCGGTGCTCTGAAATATTTCACGAAAGCAAACAATTACAGACCGGAGACACGTAATGTCTGGGGAATGTGAGACGAGAAGAGGAAAACATACTTTTGTTGGTAATTGCATGACGAGTCATAGCCAAGAATTCATCCCACTTGAATTTCCTGAGTTCTTTCTTCTCCTCCTCAGAAAGCTCGAAATTTGGTTCCCTCCCACACATGAAAGCAGCCCTGAACACAAATAACAAAACTAACAAAGTTTATATGTGCTATAATTTATTGCATTTGACACACAAAGGCTACCACCCATTTTCCTTTTTGGCTTATCAGGTTTCATGTTTTTGAACGTCGGGGGACTGGCACTAACCACTATATCATGTTGGTAATGCCGACACAACAGGCCTTTAGATTTTCATAAAAATAAAAATACCACAAATAACATAAAAAAGGACACGGGTAACCACTGGCTGGAATGAACATTTAGGGTGGCATGTCTTATCTGATGACCCTGTCTGAAGAATGCGGATGAAAAAAACCAGTGAAGCAACAATGAAGACTAAGATTGTTTTATTTGAAGGTATTGTTAATAACATGATAAAGAACCACTAATAAGAGAAGGCACTCGGTACTCGGTAGACAAAAGAAAACTGCAACGGTTTATGGTTTTCAAAATTATGCACAACTAAAGATCTAGTATATGCTGATCTTTACTCATAGTGCTCATCCAATAAGTAGTGTTCGTAGTGACAAAAACGCGATAGTACCTGTCGTACAAATGAGCAGCCTCTTCTTGTGAACCAACAGTGCCCAAGTGGATTTGTTTCTTGTCAACTTTTATTGCTGCCTGCCACTTCATATTCTTGAAATAGACACCTCTCATTAGACATGGTTCCTGGTTCTGAGCATGCTTTCTGCGATGTCGCTTTCTGCGTTTGATTGGTGGCCCTGCAAATAGCATATTATGTTTTAGAAACGATCAACCTGTAACACTGGCATACCCTCTCAAGCTAATTGTAATGGATAAACGTATACGTTCTTTAAAACTTCCATTATCGAGATTCAAGAATATGCTGTGTGCCAAGATATTTCTATTGGCATATATACCAAAAGTTGAAAATAACTGCAAAATCAAAAACTCGCATCTTCTCTGAGAAATGAAATCGCAAAGACAACCACAAAGTAGCTCATAATGTAAAGACAGAAAATACAAGTTTCAAAAGGATGAGTTCGCAAATTTGTGCGTCCAAAGTCCATGATATCCAGCATTCTAATCCGTAATATATAATTAGAAATGATAGCAAATTTAATATACACAACAAACCTGCCACATCGTGCTGCTCTTTGGATAAGCTACAACCCGATGCAGTTGAGGACCGAAATTCTGCTTTCACAATGGTATTCTGGTAATAAATAAAGCATCAGATAGAATGAAGCCAAGAAGCCAAGAAATTATTGAAAGGAATCCAGAACTCTAGTGAAATCTCCCAGATAGAGCTTTCGAGTTTCTACTTATGGCATATATTTTTCGTTTTTTGGCTGAACCAATTCATTAAAATAAATATTATAGAAGAAAATGCTGCTTTTTAGCCTTCTTGATCAAGCAACTAGTAATTAAGAGCATACTTGGTGACAAAACCAGGCCTAGGGGCACCAAATCTCAAATGGTTTATTGCTTGTGAAAATCCTTTTCTTGCATTAAAAGAAGGGAACTGTAGTTTTCTTTTGAAATATAGAAAGTTTGGAGCGCACAATGAGAATTTTGTAGTGCCAATAACAATTCCCTAAAAGAAATATTGTTATAATGAAAACGGTTTTTTAGGTCTTATATGGTGATCATTTCCATCTTACCATTTTGCTATGGGTACCCTGCTCAGCTTACGCTACGCTATCGAGACATGCAGCCTACGGATTTTTGTTCTAAAGCATATACGGAAATTTTCTCTTACCATACATACATATAGGTTAACAGAAAACATAAAAATCCTGCCTGACGAGTGTCCTAAACAAGCTAATAAAACCTTCAAAGAAAACAGTTGCCCATCTAATGTACGTAATTTAATGATATAGACTGATCGACAATCTACTCTTACCCCATCTGGTTGATATGCATCATTTGCAGGCATGGGATGCACACTGACAGGATTCGCACGGGTGAAATTTTGAGGAGTGGTTCCATTGTTGACAACCCTAGGAAGTGGATCTAGAACCGGAGGTATCTCTGCAAAGACAAAAATTGGTGAATAATTCGTTTAAGCATAAAAAAAGTCATCAAACTGAAAATGTATCACAAAGCGCTGAAAGGTTACGACACAACTTAAAACTCAAAGAGGATTAGCATGTGAATTGCTAAGAGTAGAAGAACAATACATGCTATTCAATAAAAACAATCAATCATATGTTGTATAGCACATTTCCACTGATTATTACCACAGCATAGTCCCAATCCCAACAGTCTGCGCCTTCTTAAGCTCACCATGGTTGATTTCAACTTGATTATCGAAGCACAACACTCACTTGGCAGCCTTTTCATGCATCACCCATTCCTTGGACAAATCAAGTAGACATATTACAATGAAAAGTACGGTTACAATTTCAAACGGGGTACGACTTAACAATTAAAATGTCAACAAAAAACATAATAATGTGAGAACAAGTAAATCAAAACACAATGCCACTAACTATAGAGAACCACATTAAAGGATGAAAAACTTCAGCACATACATTTCTTAACTACGTCATCGAAATTCATATGCAATGTGAATGAAGGTCAAGGCACTTCTGAAGAAACTACTACAATACTATTTACAAGTGATCAAGGATAAAACACCACCAAGTGGTCACATGATCTAAGATTATATTTTCGATTTCTATTGCTACAACAAAAGATTATTCCAACAAAGCCATAAGGAACTCAAAACTCCAATCATAAAAGAGACATATGAACTTCCCCTGAGATTTACTTAAACACCTTATGTGCCTTGAATAAAGTGAGAAGACAAACAATTGTGCTTGTACAACCGAAAACAGTCTCAAGTCGAATTAGAACACATCGAAATCAACAGAGACAAGCAAAATTCATCCAATCACTTGACTTCAACATCTCTCATTCAGGCATCTTTTTTTTTTTTTTTTTTTTTTTTTTCAGAATTGCAGTAATTGGCGCAAGGTGACAACAACAAACTCAGTCATATTTATCTTGCAAACAGAAAACCGAACCATCTATCATGCAGGATGGATTAAAATCGAAAAAAATCCAAGAAAACCACAAAAAAAATTGATAAAAATTCCAAATGTCTGACCTTTGAAAGCTAAGTCAACCCACCAACCTACCACCTTTCATGGAAGTTTCATCACCAGAAAAACAAAACCCAAAAACCAAAATTCAAAAACAAACACACAACACACACACACACACACACACACCAAATCAAGAGCAACACAAAAACCCCAAACGAAAAAAAAGCCCTCCTTTGGCTCCAACCTCGTCAACCCAAAAAGTCCACGGCCACAAACACAGTCAACACGCCATGAAAACGCAACCCATTAGACAAAAAGACGAAAGTAGCCATTGGGAAAGAGAAAGGCAGCTCCTTTTTACCTGAGGAGGCAGAAAGGTGGCGGTTCTTGGAGCTGGGAGAGAGGCAGCGGAGAATTAGAGGCAGTTGTAAATTTAATTAAATTCCCTGGAAAAGGAAAAGAAAAAGGATTGGGATTTTAAAGGAAGGGAGGGTGGTGAGCGAAGGAAGAGAGAGAGAGTGTGTGTGTAATTGTATTTGTGTCTCATGCATCTACCACCTTTTGTTTTGTTTGTTTGGTTTTGTTTTTTTGGTTTTTTGGTTTTTTGGTTTTTAAGAAGAGAGGGGTGGTGGTGAGACTGGTGGTGGTACTGTGGTAGGGCTGATGAAGGGGGAGTGACTAGTCTCCTTAGAGAGAGAGCAATACTTATGTGTGTGTACTTTGGTTTAGGGTTATAATTCCAGTTTTACCCTTTGAACATTTGTGATTGGTACCTTGGTTGGTTGACATTATATTTGAGATGCGATGAGTTGACCAATATGCCCCTTAATAATTTTTTGTCTGGGGTCATGAGTTGATGATGTCTCCAAATCCAATCATGCTTGCTTGTGGGTGAAAGCAGAAAAGGGTTTTCTTCTAAAAAATTTCTTCTTTTGGGTAAATATTTGTTCTAAAAGTTGCTGAAGCCCTATGTGGTGGATAACAAAGTGAGAGTCATATGATATGTGTTGGTTAATTAAGGTAAAACCCTTATTAGGAAGGGTAAAGCCTTCCTTTTAAACTTTGACTGCAAGAAACATCCTTCCTTCTTTGTCCTTTTGATTTTGGGGTTTTTTTTTTTCTTTCTTTGTCGAAACAATTAGGGATGCTAGAGAGATAACTAACGATCAAGTTATCCATTTCAAGCGATAATACATCTGGTGAATTCCCGACACCACAGTCTCCAATACCAGTGGACGTACTAAAGCCAATCCTTCATCTAGTTTTTGAGCAACTCTTGTTTAGTAACATGGAATTGTAACAAATAAATCTGACATTTTGAAAATCGGAAAAATGAAGTCATAGCCGACTTTAATAGTAAGCTCTCCTCTTTTGCATAAACAATATGCTCAACTTTACAATAGGTCCAAGTCCAATAATAAGCGTTATCTTTTCTATACTAGCAGTGACCACTATTAATAAAGACGATTAATCCACATGATTCCCTTATTAGAATCCATATTGAACGCCAAAATAGTTTCCTTATCAAATTATAAGCAGTAAAAACCAGTTGACATACTAAGTCTACTTCCATGTAATTAGGACAAAATAATATTACTTTCATAAGACTTTTCTGCACCAATTTGAATCAATCAGCTATAACAATTACTTTCATACTCATATTCTTACAAGAATATGAATGAAAGAAGTCACTCCTATTTTCATGTGATCTTATTACTTATTGACACGTTAAGGAATTAGAACAAAAATGGGCTCCACACAAAATCAAGAACAGACGCCTAATTAATTGGAATGAGGATCTTGCATATGGTTGGTACATATTCTTTGCCTTATTCGGAGTATAGCAAGACGCATGAATTAATCGAGAAAATCATTATCCCCAAATGCCAACCTCATTAAAACTATGTTAAATTACATTTCAAGTCCGAACCTATGCATGTATTTTTATTTCTCACACATGAACGTTGAAAAAAAAAATGAACAATAAAAAGGGTAATCCCGTCATCCGAACAGAAATTCCGAGTGCCGTGCAGGTGGGATAGATAACGAAACAGGGCGAGGGGCAAAGGGGTAAAAGGGTAATTAAAGAGATAGCGAAGGGTGGACAAAGAGGGGGTTAGGAAATTATTATTAGTGTTGCGTTGGTTGGTAGCGAGAGAAGGGCACCGACGAAACGGTGATTGGGTGGACGACTGGACGGCCTGCCAAATAAGAATGTAGATAACGTCCCGCCAACCCACACCCCTAATTCCAAACTTTTACAAATCAACCTTTTTTTCTAGAACCATAAACTTTATTTTCTGCCTAATCATTGCCCTAATCAGTACTCAATGCGTCTAATCAAACTTACAATTTGTTTCACATGCATTCCTCCCTTTGAACTTGATACATAGCGATGACAATCGCTGTTTTTAAGAGAATGATTTACACAAAACAAAAACGTTAAGATGACAGTATCTCAAAGTAATTATGAGATAACTCGTAAAAATTAAAAAAACGTGACAAATGATAGATTATAAGGAAAACTAATGAAAATGGCTTGAAAACTTTGAGTTTTAATGATAAGGACAAAATAAAGGGTAAAGTGAATAGTACCAGGATTGATTTTTTAGTGTAAAAATGTGGTTTTTCGTTAAAGTGAACAGTACCGAGTACTTTTCATTAAAGTTCCCTAGATTATAAGCACCATCGCCCTAAGTCTCTAAGGGTGGCATTATGAGATCATTGTGCAAGCGTTGACAAACATGTTTGGCTAGGTTACACTTTTGATCTCGATAATCTAACTTTATTGTTGTTTTAAGTACTTCAAGTAATTATTTTTTTTTAAGATAATACTTAAGTATTTACTAGTAGCTACTCTCTCATCTTAATTTTGATCCAATGATATTTTAACACATGTTTTACTGCTTTAAAAAAATAATAGACATCTTAATTAATTTTTCTTATGCTCTAAAACCAAAAAACATGTGACATTTTTTTTAATTGAGCCAAATTAGAAAATGAGTACCTAAGTAATTTTTTTTGGGTAATGCTAGGTTAACCAAAATTTTTAAAGTATATTTGCAAACCAAATGATGTGGTTATAGAATGACTGGATTATTAATTAAGTGTTAAATTAACATGCTTGTTTCTTATTGGTGACACGTCATTTTGTTTAAAAAATTTGGTCTCCCTAGCTGTAACATCTCACATCGCCCAGAGGAGTGGATCATGTAAGCCTTATATGTATATTCTGATCTCTACCTAGCACATTGTAACATCCCACATCGCCTAAGGGAGTGGATCTTATAAGCCTTATATATATATATATATATATATAATATATATATATATATATATATATATATATTCTCATCTCTACCTAACACGAGGCTTTTTAGGAGCTCATTGGCTTCGGGTTCTGTAGGAACTCCAAAGTTAAGCGAGTTCGCGCGAGAGCATTCCCAGGATGAGTGACCCACTAAGAAGTTCTCGTGTGAGTTCCTAGAAACAAAACCATGAGGGTGTGGTCGGGGCCCAAAGCAAACAATATCGTGCCACGGTGGGGAGTCGAGCCCGGGATGTGGTGGGCCTCGAGGCCAGGATGTGACAATTTGGTATCAGAGCCAATCTCTGGTCGAAAGTGTGCCGACAAGGACGTCGGGTCCCTAAGGGGGGTGGATTGTAACATCTCACATCGTCCATGGGAATGAATCTTGTAAGTCTTAAATGTATATTCTCATCTCTACCTAGCACGAGGCCTTTTGGGAACTCACTAGCTTTGGATTCCATTGGAACTTCGAAGTTAAGCGAGTTCGTGCGAGAGCAATCCCATGATGGGTGACCCACTGGGAAGTTCTTGTGTGAGTTCCCATAAACAAAACTGTGAAGGCGTGGTCAGGACCCAAAATAGACAATATAGTGCTACGACAAAGTCGAGCCTAGGCCGGGATGTGAGAATTTGGTATCAGAGCCAATCTCTGGTCTGAAGTGTGCCGACGAGGACGTCGGGCCCCTAAGGGGTGTGGATTATAACATTCCACATCGCCCAGGAGAGTGGATCATGTAAGCCTTATATGTATATTCCCATATCTACCTAGCACAAGGCCTTTTGGGAACTCACTGGCTTTGGATTCCATCGGAACTCCGAAGTTAAGCGAGTTTGTGCAAGAGCAATCCTATGATGGGTGACCCACTAGGAAGTTCTTGTGTGAGTTCTCAGAAACAAAACCGTGAGGGAGTGGTCAGGACCCAAAACAGGCAATATCGTGCTACGACGGAGTCGAGCCCGGGCCGAGATGTGACAATTTGATATCAGAGTCAATCCCTGGTCGGAAGTGTGCCGACGAGGACGTCGAGCCCCTAAGGGGTGTGGATTGTAACATCCCACATCGCCTAGGGGAGTGGATCTTGTAAGCCTTATATGTATATTCTCATCTCTACCTAGCACGAGCCCTTTTGAGAACTCACTGGCTTTGGATTCCATCGGAACTCCGAAGTTAAGCGAGTTCGTGCGAGAGCAATCCCATGATGGGTGACGCACTAAGAAGTTCTCGTGTGAGTTCCCAGAAACAAAACCGTGAGGGCGTGGTCCGGGCTCAAAGCGGACAATATCGTGTTACGGCAGAGTCAAGCCGGGGATGTGGTAGGGGCCCGGGCCGGGATATGACAATTTGGTATCAGAGCCAATCCCTGGCCGGAAGTGTGCCGATGAGGACGTCGGGCCCCTAAGGGGGTGGATTGTAACATCCCACATCGCCTAGGGGAATGAATCTTGTAAGTCTTATATGTATATTCTCATCTCCTTTACCTAGCACGAGGCATTTTGGGAACTCACTGCTTTGAATTCCATCGGAACTCCGAAGTTAAGTGAGTTCGTGCGAAAGCAATCCCATGATAGGTGACCCACTGGGAAGTTCTCGTGTGAGTTCCCAAAAACAAAACCATGAAGGCGTGGTCAGGGTCCAAAGCGGACAACATTGTGCTATGGCGGAGTTGAATTAGAAAATGAGTACCTAAGTAAAAATTTGGATAATGTTAGGGTAACCAAAATTTTTAAACCATATTTGCAAACCAAATGATGTGGTTGTAGAATGACTGGATTATTAATTAAGTGTTAAATTAACATGCTTGTTTCTTATAGGTGACACATCATTTAGTTTAAAAAAATTGGTCTTCCTAGCATTATCCCTTTTTTTTCATACTAATGCACTTGAAGTTAGAGAACCTTAATAAATAAGTACTTGTCAATAAAGCTTGTCAATGAAGTTAAATGAAATAGAAAACTTCATTCTAATCCTTGGCAAATATGACTTTTAGACTAAAACCATGAGTAAGATCAAAATATAATTTTAGTCCATTGATACATTAATAACCTCATTTATTAATTACATTTGCATTTTTTTAATTAGTTATCTTTTTCTTCCTAATTTTAATGTATTAATTTTATTTCATTATAATTATAATTTTCATTTCATTTATTGTAATATATTTTGTTGTAAACATTTAGATATACTAATTCTTGTTATACAATATATTTCGATGTATTTTGTCTTTTATTCATTTAGGTACATTAAATTCATTATAATACATTTCGGTGCATACATTTAGGTACACACATTTCGGTACATACATTTTGTCACATCCCGACCCGAGCCCTCACCACATC